ACTTGGAAGGCTGAGGCGGAAGGATCGCCGGAGCCCAGCAGGTCGAGGCTGCAGTGGGTGACAGAGTGAGACTCCAACTGGGTGACAGAGTGAGACTCCAACTCAAAAAAAAAAAAAAATTAATGCCAGAATGGAACATCCTTATCTAATATATATTATTTACTAAAGATCTATAGCAAAAATCATAGATAATTGTGAAACTTTAGAAATTTTTTAAGTCAAGAACAAGACAAGGATCCCCATGCATCTATTCAATATTGTACTAGAAGTCCTAAACAATGCAATAAGACAAGAAAATAAATATGACATACAAGAAATTATACAATATATCAAACATACAATTTACCAAAAAGATATAAATGAAAAGGAGTATATAACTCTGATACAATACAAGATGGAGTTGTTATTTTCAGACTATATGGTCTTACAGTTACACCCACTTACAAAAGAATCAAGAGACAAATTACTACAATTAATACGAGAGTTCAGTAAAGTTTCTTGATATGAGGCCAACAAGATAGGATTGTCTTGACATAACCATGTGGAAAGGTGCTAAGAAAAAGCAACAAAAAGTAAACCAGGGAAGTGAGGACTGGTTGGAGACTCAACTTTCATCTGCATGTCGATTACTTATTACTTATGCTGACTTGTACCCCATGTCTCCATAATAAAATTAAGTTAACAAATAAATAAATAAATATACTTGTCACCTTCAAAGTGAAAAAAAGAACAAAATAATTAAATTAAATGTGCAACATTTTGATGAAAAAAATTGCAGAAATGAATTGAAGACCGGAAAGAAAAGAGAGATATACGTCATATTTATTAATGAGGAGATTCAGAATTATAAATATTCAATCTTACCCCTAATCTGTACATTCAATAAAATTCTAATATAAATCTCACCATAATTCTTTTTTTTTTTTTTTTTTTGTGAGTTGGAGTCTCACTCTGTCGCCTAGGCTGGAGTGTAGTGGCACACTCCTAGCCATCGCGGCCTCGACCTGCTGGGCTCCAGTGATTCTTCCACCTCAGCCTTCCAAGTAGCTAGAACTACAGACACATGCTACCACGCCCAGCTAATTTTTTGATGTGTGGTAGAGACAAGGTCTCACCATGTTGCCCAGACTGGTCTTGAACCCGCAGGCTTAGGCAATCCTCTTGCCTCGGCCTCCCAAAGTGCTGGGATTATAGGCTTGAGCCACCAACATAATTCTTTTTTTTTTTTTTTTTTTGAGTTAGAGTCTCACTCTATCGCTCAGACTGGAGTGCAGTGGCCGCTTCCAGCCACCACAGCCTTGACCTGCTGGGCTCCAGCAATCCTTCTGCCTCAGCCTTCCAAATAGCCAGAATTATAGACATGCGCTACCACGCCCGGTTGATTTTTTGATTTATTGTAGAGATGAGGACTCGCTGCCCAGGTGGGTCTCGAATCCACAGGCTCAGGCAATCCACTCACCTCAGCCTCCCAAAGGTGCGGGATTACAGGCTGAGCCACTGAGCCCGGCTCACCAACATAATTCTTAATGGGAACCAGGTATATAGCAGAGGTGTTGTCATGAACCAGTGCAGGGAGACAACTAACAACTGAGTAAATGCCCTTAGGCCAAAACCTGGGCAAAACCTTACTTTGGTTATTATTATTTTTTATGGCATGAGACATTTTAGAATATCAGGAGACAGAGATACTGGCTAGAGAGACTACCTGACTTCCAAATCAATATTTACTGAGCTTGGACAAATTACTTGATCTGTCTATGCCTAGCTCCTCATCCCTAAAATAGTAACGGTTCTTGAATTAATAAAGGCATATTAACACATATTGACACAGGTAAATTGACACAGGTAATATAGGTAAAGCATTTAGACCCATCTCTAGATCGAAGCAGCACAACATGTGTTAGTTACCCTTTTACCTTCACACCACAGAGCTAGGACCACTCCCCTTTCTCTGTGTCATGGGAGACTTCCATTATCCAAACAGACCAGAATGGTTTAGTTCACTGGTCTTAGAGATCTGGTCAAATCTCTGCCATCATCACCAAGACATTCCTTAGTGGGAGGTTTTCTCACTTAAGTTATTTCCAGGCTGGGCATGGTGGCTCATGCCTGTAATCACAGCACTTTAAGAGGCCAAGGCAGGAGGACCGCTTGAGCCCTGGAGTTTGAGACCAGCCTAGGCTACATAGCGAGATTATCCTAGACAGCAATCTTGTCTCTACAAAAAAATTAAAAAATTAGCTGGGCATGGTGGTTCATGCCAGTAGTTCCAATTACTCAGGAGCTGAGGTGGGAGGATCACCTGAGCCCACAAGGTTGAGACTATGGTTAGCCACGATCATGCCACTGCACTCCAGCTTAGGCAACAGAGTGAACTCCCCCCCCAAAATTTCCTTAGAGCATTAATTTCTAACATTGGTAACTTCCCGTCTCAATTCTTATCTGTGGCTCTGACAGCAAGATCATGAGAGTTTTCAATATGGATCACCCAATAGCACTTTTTTTGGTAATAAATTTTATTTTTTAGAACAGTTGCAGATTTACAGAAAAAAATTTGAAAATTAATACAGGGAGTTCCCATATATCCCACAGTTTCCCTTATTATTAACATTGTCTTGCTTTTTATTTTTACTTTTGAGACAAAGTATCACTCTGTTGTCCAGGTCGAAGTGCTAGGATCATAGGTCCATAGGTCCACACTACCATACTTGACTAATTTTTAATTTTTTTGTAGAGATGGAGTCTTGCTATGTTGTTCAGGCTGGTCTTGAACTCTTGGCCTCAAGGGATTCTCCTGCCTCAGCCTCCCAAAATGCTGGAACTACAGGTGTGAGCCACAGCACCTAGCCTATCTTGCTTTTCAAATTCAACATTATGTCACTGATATATATCTGTATTGATATATAGATCTGATTTATTTAGACTAACTGCAGGGTGGTATCCCATTGACCTGAAAGCTTCTCAGGGTCTCATCTGGCACAGATTTAGTGCCAGAGAATTCTGTCTCCCTCTCAATCAGGCCTATCAACTCCCGGTTCTGCAGTGAATAATCATAATGTTATAAATGCCATTTGGTTTTCAATGTTTCAGTGTTAAGAATCAACGTACAGGCAAATTATGGCAAATGGAATGATCTTTACGGGATAGACAGTAGATGGCATAACCTTGGACGTTATACAAGTAAAAGTTTAGTTCCTGGACAAAGGCAGAGCAGGGAGGGTATATCAAGGGAAGTTATCCATTTCACACCCAGGAGAGTCAAGAGACACAATCTATAGAAGAAATGAATATCTAAGACCATTCTTCAAAGTGATACTATAAGCCAGTAGAAAAATGAAAAATATAATCATAAAAAAGAAAAACTAGGAGGAAAAAGGAGAAAAGGGTGGTTAGTTAAATCACCACAGCAGGAAGTCAATAGATATTGTTAAAATTAATAAATCAAGTAATAGAGGTATGAGTATATTATTCGGTTAAGAAATTTTAAAAATCTAAGACAGGCCAGGCTGGGTGGCTCAGCCTGTAATCCCAGCACTGTGAGAGGCCGAGGCGAGTGGATTGCGGAAATCCGCGGGTTTGAGACCAGCCTGGGCAACATGGTAAGACCCGTCTCTACAATTAATCAAAAAAATTAGCCGGGCGTGGTAGCGCGCGCCTGTAGTTCCAGCTACTTGGAAGGCTGAGGCGGAAGGATCGCCAGAGCCCAGTAGGTCGACGCTGCAGTGGCCGTGAGCGTGCCACGGCCCTCCAGCCTGGGTGACAGTGAGACTCCGACTCAAAAAAAAAAAAAATCTGAAACAACAAGCACGGTTTAAAAAAAGGTTGTTCTCAGGAGTTGGGAGATTGGGGAAATGAGAAGAAGTTTTAAAGTTTTTAATTCTAGCCATTCTATTGGGCTTGAATGTGCATTTCCATCTAGGTGAATTTTATTTGAGATACTAATCCTAGACAAAAAATAATCAGGCAAAAAGTCTAAATCTGATTTTGGTATTCTTCTAGGGGCTCAGGAACTTCCAGTAAAGCGGTAGCATCAAGTTTAAATTATCAGGAGGCGTTCAAGGCCCTTTGCCGCCCCACACTCCTCGCCCCACGCACCCACCTGGTCCCGCTCAGGAGGAGGAGGGATTGGCACCTCCTCCGGGAAGCCCTCAGAAGGGAGAGCCCGCCCTCTGCCGGGGCAGGGACGCCAGCACGCCTGGGAGTCGCTCAGTGCGCTTCATCAGGGACTCCGCCCCCATCCCTCACCAGGCGCCCCTCCGCCCCCCGCATCACGCGGTCCCAGCCCCTTGCTAGCTAGAGAGTGGAACCCCAGGTGAGAGCAGCTGGAGCGGCTGGGCTTAGGTTCTCTGGGTCGTGAGGGACTGTCCTAGTCAGACCTGGGAACCTAGGTAGGTTGTCTATCAGAACGGGACCGATGGGGGAGGGCACAGGAGGGGTGATGGGCACGAACCCCATTCAGCGTCTGCTCTATGTGGAGTGGGTTAGAGCTGGACTTTCAGAGGGGAGAGAATCCTGGCTCTCCCTCTTTCTATCTGTGTATCCTTGGGCGAGTCATTTAACGTCTCAGAATCTGGTTCCCCCCAGTGTTCACCAGCATGAAATGAAATAATGCACATAAGGAAATCTTTAATAAGTGATATCTTATTATTAGATCCCATTTGAGCAAAAGTGTAAACTCCTGGAGACAGCAAGACCTTGAAGGTCACGGTAGCTCGGCCCTGTTTAGAGGCAGGCCTCTCCTCCCTCACCCTGGGGTTCCAGGTCCAGATGGGTGCTTGCACCCTTAGGGTACTCATCTCCAGGCCTCAGGAGTGGGCAGGATCTGGGGCACTTCCTGGTAGGGGGGTTGCCTCCAGGTTCCTGATGAATGGGCTGGCAGGTGGCACTCGCCATGGTGCAGCCTCCTCCCTGTCCCCACACAGGGCCTGCCTTCTGCTTTTGTTCCAGGTTGGTGGACAGACACATCCCAGGCAGGGGGTGCAGAGGGCTCCAGCCCCGAAGACCCTGTGCTGAGGCCCTGACACAGCTGTGGGCTTTTCCAGGACAACATGGAAGGAACTAGCTCTGTGCCAGACCTGGCACCAGATTTGCCAGGAGCAAGCCCTGGGACCAACCCCCAGGCTGGGGGTGCTACTGGAGCCAGCCTGCGGGTCTTAGAGCTGCAGGCTGCCGGGCAGAGTCAGGACTCAGTGCCTGACCCCAGGCTCCACGTGCCCTCGGCACTTGCTCAGGGAAAGACTCAGGCCTTCAAGATGCTCCAGGTTTCTCTGTATGACATCTTGGCTAAAAGTTGCCCTAGGAATCTTCGTAGTAGGTCTGCAGGTCTCCGAAAGAAAGCTCTTGTCTGGGAGAGGCCGGTGAGGATGGAGAAGAGGAGTTGCCCCAGGCCCAGAGACGCCAGAGACAGGAGGTTAAATTCTCCAGGGCGTGATGGAAGAAGCCCCTCAGTCAGCAAGGAGGAGTCCCCTCAAAGAGGCCTGTTGTCCTCACCAGGCCCAGACCCTGTGAGGGCAAGAAACAAAAGCAGGAAGCATGGGCAACAGGCTCGTGGCTTCCTGTGGCTTGATCAGAGTGCTGGGGGGGATAGCCCCCAGTCTGTGGGAGCCCCTCCCCAAGGCGCTGACCTGGAGTCCTTGGGAGAGCCCTACAGACCTCTTTCTCCCAGCGATGCTGGGTCCAGGCCTGGGGACCCAGATGGAATCTGGGCAGAATGCATCTCAGGGACAGAGAAGTTTGGGTTTGTGCCTGCTGCAGGGAACTGGGCCCAGCCAGGCAACCCTGATGGCTCTGTCGGGTTCCCAGTGCCCGACGGAGGAGAGTCCCACATTCCAGCCGCTGATCCTTCCCAGAGCCCTGCGCTGTACCTGGCAGTGTCGGGACAGGCTTCTATAGAGCAGCAAGAAGCCCTGTGCATGGCAGGGGCTGGCGGCAATGAAGGCTTTGCCGCTTCAAACGACCAGGAGGAGCTGGGGGTCAAGGCTCTGCCAGCGTCCAGGGGAAGCCTGGGGCAAATACTCACTGTTCCCTCTGACACCCATGCCAGCTCCCCAGAAACCTTGGGCAGCCTAAACTCCTCCCTGGAGCCTGCAGCCAGCAAGGCCTGCTCACACCCCTTCATGGGGCAGAGTCCGTCCAAGTATGCCAAGAAGCTAAAGAAGGATCAAGTGCCCTGTGCCCAAGACCTGGGCACAGACAGAGGCTCAGACAACTCCAACCAGGACAAACCAGAGGAATCTAGCCCCGGAGGCTGCCCTCGACTGGTAAGTTGCGTCTTGAGGGTTTGGGGCAGAAAGGGCCAGGCCATGTCTCTTAGTACCATGCTTGGCAGTGGAATTTAACTGAGCTAAGCTTGATGGGATCTCAGTGAACTTTATCTCTCACACCCATGTTAAGTAATCTGGGTGAACTGAGGCCCGTAAAGTCAGGAAAGAGAAAACAAACTATATTCACTGAATTCTTATGCAGGGTTTTGGAGTCAGTGACTCTTGGTTTCAAATCTTGCCTCTGCCCACTTCCTAGCTGAGTGAACTAGGGATGTTTTTTAACCTCTGTTTCCTCATCTGTAAAAAAGGAATATACTGCTTCCAGTTTAATGAGATTGTTTTGAGGATAAAATGAGACTATTGTATAAAATCATGTGTCTAGCACAGCATAAGGTATAAGGTGAGTGCTTAATTTGTGTTCAGTTTGCTTTTCCCTTAGTGTTAACTGTAGTCCTATAGGATAGGTGTGAGCCCCAGGTTATTGTATGGGGAAACTGAGGCTCAGGGAGGTTAAGAAACTTTTCTAGGCTCATACAGCGAAGGAGTCAGTGCCCAGCCACGTTCTCTATATCCATTGCTTCCCTTTCCATTGTTCTTTTACTTATAATAATAATCATTATTTTATCAATAGTCATAGCTAACATGTTTGCACCAAAGGCAGAAGATGATGCTACTTGTTTTTTATGTCTATCTCCCACATAGTTGATTTGTGTGTATGTGTATATGTGTGTTGGAGTCTCACTCCATCACCCAGACTGGAGTGCAGTGGCACACTCAGCGGTTACCCCAGCGTCAACCTGCTGGGCTCCAGTGATCCTTCCACTTCAGCCTTCCAAGTAGCCACAACTACAGGCGCACACTACCATGCCCAGCTAATTTTTGATTTATTGTAGAGATGAGGTTTCACCAAGTTGCCTGGCCTGGTCTTGAACCCATGGGCTCAGGCAGTCCACTCACCTCAGTCTTCCAAAGTGCTGGGATTACAGGCTGAGCCTCCGAGCCCAGCCTGAATTTTTATATTTATTTAATGTGCATTATGTGTTGAGTGTTTTCATTTAATCTTGGCATAAAGCCCAGAGGGGTAAGGTGTCAGACCAGGTAGTCAATTACAGCCAGTGTACAAACCCAGGCGGTGTGTCTTGAGAGCTTCCTGCACTGCCAGCCTGACTATCTCCCGTGTTATCAGCACAGCAGCAAGAGGGCCCAGTTTGCTTAACATGTGCTGGGTACTGTACTAAGCACTTTATTTCTGATTTTTGTAACAACCCCAAAAGGCAGATACTATAGATATATACCCATTTTACGGATGTGTACGCTAAGACTCCAAAAGATGAAATGTCTACTCAAAGCCAAACAGCCAACTAGTAGAACTGGGAGGGGAGCCAATGAGCTGTCTGTGTATTTGTCTCTATTCAGTACTATACATATAAGCCCCGACCTACGATGGCTCGACTTACAATTTTTCAACTTTATGATGTTGCAAAAGTGATATGCATTCACTGGAAACTGTACTTTGTATTTTATTTTACTTTATTTTTACTCAGGGTCTCACTCTGTTGCCCAGACTGGAGGGTAGGGGTAGCACGGTCATGACTCACTGCAGCCTTGACCTTCTGGACTGAGACAATCCTCCTCCCTCAGTCACCCAAGCAGCTGGGACTACAGGTGCATGCCACCATACCTGGCTAATTTTTTGATTTATGGTACAGATGAGGTCTTGCTATGTTGCCCAGGCTGGTCTCAAATTCATGGTCTCAAGTGATCCTCCCACCTTGGCCTCCCAAAATGCTGGGATTACAGGCATGAGTCACTGCACCTGGCCATGGAAACTGCACTTTGAGTTTTTTTGTTTTGTTTTGTTTTTTGAGTTGGAGTCTCACTCCGTTTCCCAGACTGGAGTGCAGTGGCCACTCCCGGCCACCGCAGCCTCGACCTGCTGGGCTCCGGCGATCCTTCCGCCTCAGCCTTCTGAGTAGCCGGAATTACAGGCCTGCGCTACCACGCCCGGCTGATTTTTTGATTTATTGTAGAGATGAGGTCTCGCTGCTCAGGCGGGTCTCGAACCCGCGGGCTCAGGCAATCCACTCACCTCAGCCTCCCAAAGGCGCGGGATTACAGGCTGAGCCACCGAGCCTGGCTTGAGTTTTTTATAATCTTGTCCCAGGCTAGTGGTATGCAGTACGATCCTCTCCTGTGATGCTGGGCAGCAGCAGCGAGCCGCAGCTCCCAGTCAGCGCATGCTCATGAGGCAAACAGTTGAAAATGCACTTTCAATTTATGATATTTTCATTTTAGAATGGGCTTATCGAGATGCAGCCCCATCATAAGTTCAGGAGGTATTACATTAGGATGGTATTACATTGCCTTTGTAAACATCACTCAAAACATTAACCTTTAATTTTAAAAGTAATATGCATTTATTTAAAAAGATGAAGAAATACAAATCCCCATAATGTCGACATTCAGAACCAACTTCCGCTGATATTTTGGCATATGTACCTTCTTCCATCCTTTTCCTAGGCATGTATATTTTTCTTCACCTAGAAATGAGATCACATGCATCAAAAGTTTTCTTTTGAGTCATGGTCTCACTCTGTTCCCCAGACTAGAGTGCAGTGGTTCAGTCATGGCTTACCACAGTCTGACACTCCTGGGTTCTAGCTATCCTCCTGCCCTAGCTACCTCCTGAGTAGCTGGGACTACAGGCACACACCATCATGCCCAGTTGATTTTTAAATGTTTTTGTACAGACAAGGTCTTGCTATGTTGCCCAGGCTGGTCTCGAACTCCTGGGCTCAAGCAGTACTCCCTCCTCGGCCTCCCAAAGTGCTGGAATTACAGGCGTGAGCCACCATGCCTGGCCACGTGTATCAAATTTTATAATTTTTTTGTATTTAAAAATAATTTCTCGATTAAGTTGTAAATGCAGAGTGAGGAAGTTCCTTCTGGTGCCTCCCAACCCGTGGCCCTACATCTGGAGATCTGCACCATCGATGGCTCATGTCCTTCCAGTCCCTTGTTTTGAGCTTCTCTATATAGGAACATCCACACATTGAACCTTTTTATATATAAACAGCTTCCTCCTCTACCTTATTGTCCTGGGACTTATACTTTGTTTTCTAAGCTCTATACTATTTGAAGACCTTTCCGAGGTGGTACACATTGTTCTGGCGAATTTATGCTTTTCCTGAGCCCTGCGTCATAGCTGTCTATAGATGTATTTGTCACGGCCATGGGCGCTGTCAGGATGAGAGGATGGGCCGGGACTTCCTCTTCTCATTTCCAGCCGTTGTAGCTGTGTAGTCAGGAGCACGAGCCCTGGAGGCCAAGAGGCTGGCATTCGGTCCTTGTTTTGTCCCTGTCTGAATTACCTAGGCAGTGGCTTCATCTTGCCGCGCGTAATTCTCTCACCTGCAAAATGCGGGTATTACAAGGGCTGACCTCCCAGGATGGTGGTGAGGATCAAATGAGGTGACGCATGTTTGGCATTTAGCGTGGTGCTTGTTACAAAGAAGATACTTAAAAATGTTACCTGTTATCGATATATCAATTTTGTCCTGCTGTAAGTAATGCTGGGGGGAGCACCCTTGTGCATCTGGCTTCTCCCCACTTCACATGATTTATTTGGACCAGATGCCCAGAATTGGGAGTCCTGGGTCTACAGCAGTTTGGGGGCTTGTTAGAGCATGGTGGTGCAGCCGGGTTCCTGCCTGGCCTCGCTGGAAGCAGCCCACGACTGCTCTCTCCTCCACGCTCCCTCCTTGACTCTGCAGCTCAGCGCATCATCCCACAGCCTCCCAAACAACCCGTTGCTATGGCAACCAGTACCAGCTGCAGGAGAAGAATATAGGTTGGGCTGTGACAGGGACTGGTGTATGGTTGTGGACAGGGCTCAGAGGGGTGTGGGCAACCATTTGGAGCCCTGTTTAGGGCCCCAGCACCTTCCCCTGGAGGCTGCCTGGCTCGTGGCAGGGACAGACAGAGGGATTCAAGGTCAGGTTCTGCCTCTTATTACAGGGCCACCTTAGACAGGAGTTGTCTTTCCTCTGAACCGTAGTTGCTTCCTTTGTGAAACAGGGAGGATGAGCTGGGCCCCAGAACTGCTAGGAGTCTGATATGGGAGGTCGATTGTGTTGTATTCTTCTGGCTTGAACTGGAGGATCTGGGGGGGAGGCATAGAAGGAGGACTGGATGCCATTCTCTGTCCTGAGCCCACGGTGGCCAGTGAGGTCTGGAGCCTCTCTGTGGCTGGGATGGGGAGTGGGTGTGTCTGTGTGGGGTGGCTTTACTAGTGCCCCATGCTCTGCCCTCAGTCTGCCCATCGCTATCTGGGAGGCACACTGCTCCTCTGGCCCAAACCAGACTCCTAGGCTTGAGGGATGCTGTCTGCAGCTGCAAAGTGTCAGGAGGAGAGGGAGAGAGGACCATGTCTTTCTGGTAGGTGGGCAGCCTTTTCATTGGAGTGCTTACTGTAGACCAGGAGCGTCACCTATGTTATTTCATTTAATCCTCACAACAGCATTAAAACTGTGTTAATACCCCTATTTTACTGAGCCAGAAAACTAGGGTTCAGAGAAGTTAAGTGACTCATTCAAGGTCACATGGCAAGTAAGTGGATTTGAATCCAGTCTTTATGACTTAAGAGCCTGGGCACTTAGGCTGCCTAAGGCCTGGTGAAGGGGTTTGGATATCTATGGGACTTTTTTTTTTTGAGTTGGAGTCTCACTCTGTCACCCAGACTGGAGTGCAATGGCCGCTCCCGGCCACCGCAGCCTTGACCTGTTGGGCTCCAGCGATCCTTTGGCCTCAGCCTTCCAAGTAGCTGGAACTACAGGCGCGTGCTACCACACCCGGCTGATTTTTGATTTATTGTAGAGATGAGGTCTTGTCAAGTTGCCCAGGTGGGTCTCGAACCCGCGGGCTCAGGCAATCCATTCACCTCGGCCTCCCAAAGTGCTGGGATTACAGGCTGAGCCACCGAGCCCAGCCTTATGGGA